AAGCAATGAGTGAGAGTTCCTGTAGCTTCACATCATCAACATTCGGTGTTGTCAATATTCTGGATTTTGAGCATTTTAATAGATGTGCAATAGTATCTCAGTGTTGTTTTAATTTGCGTGTCCCTGATGACATATGATGTGAAGATCTTTTCATACGAATTTTTCCCATCTATATATCTTCTTCCATGAGGTATCTGTTAAGGTTTTTGTACCACTTTTAAAAAATCAGGTGTTTTTTTTATTGTTGAATTTTAAGAGTTCTTTAAATATTTTGTATAACGGTCCTTTATCAGATGTGTCTTTTGCAAATATTTTTTCCCAGTCTGTGGCTTGTCTTCACTTTCTCTTGATATTGTCTTTCATAGTACAAAGTTTTAAATTTTAATAAAGTTTAGTTTATTGGATTTTTCTTTTATAGATTGTGTCTTTGTTATTGTTTCTAAAAAGGTATCACAATACCCAAGGTGATCTAGGTTTTCTTTTATGTTATCTTCCAGGAGTTTTATAGCTTTCCATTTTTCATTTAGGCCTGTTACGCATTTTGAGTTACTTTTTGTGAAGGGTATAAGGTCTGTGTCTAGATTCTTTTTCTTCTTCTTTTTTTTTTTTTTTGCATGTGGATGTCCAGTTGTTCCATCATCATTTGTTGAAAAGACTATCTTTGTTGCATGTGCCGCCTTTCCACCTTTTTAACAGATCAGTTGACTAGATTATGGGGGTCTATTTCTAGGATCTCTGTTCTGTTCCACTGATCTATTCTCTTATTCTTCCGCTGAGACCACACCATCTTGATAATTGTAGCTCTATTGTAAATCTTGAAACTGTTCACTGTTGTGAAAATAACTAACATTATTTAGAACTCATTATATGTTTACTGAAAATTATAACAGGCATTCACCATACTCTGGGAAAATGTTTAAAGTTCTGGTAAGTTAGGAATCTCTGGAAATTTTTTCTTAAATATAATAGTAATTATTTTTATAAAGAGTGAATGGATGCATTTCCTGTAGAGCAGTAACTTTGAATATAAATACAGAGGTGAGAGGCACAGAAAGTTTGCAAAGAACATTGAATTACTCGTTTTGATTGGGGCATGGACTAATTTAAAGTGATAGTGGTGGATAAAAGTGGAATTTGGAGTCGTTTTATTGAAGATCTTAGAAGATACTTTACTTGTAGCAGAAAGAACTTTTCAGTTACCTAACTTGAGAGTTTAGAAAGAAATTTTGACTGGGTATTTTAACATACTTTTCTTTGCTAATCTGCCTCAGTATTCAATAGTCTCCATGATAAACAACCTGGAGCCTGGCAACAGTATTTTCTACACGATGGAGAGTCCTAGGCAGGAACTGGAATTTACTTTGATAGATCTATGAGAGTTTTATCAGGATTAGAGCTTTCTTTGATAGGCAGTCATTTGGATTCTATTTTCCCTCATTTGGGAATAGTTCCCAGGCCAAATCACTGTTCTATTTATATCCATGACCTCGTTTTCGATGCACTATAGAGACTTCCTTAAAAGAAGTAGTATTTGGGTCAGAAACATCAACCAAAGTGAGTGTAATTAGATAGATTTTTTTTTAAAGAATGAAGAGATTTTCTGAAGCTTTGTTAGTAAATTTTTAGTTAAAGTTGTTTCCCTTTGAATTGCTCATCCTTGATGCACAATTCACTTGGATATATTTAATTAAACTCAACAAAATGTCTTTGGATCCTTGGATACTTACTGTGCTAGGTGATTCTGTTGGGGGAGGGGGCTAGAAGTTGTAGTCTGAAGTTCCTACAACTAAGGACATGTCTGGAGAAGTTTATTGTCCCTATTGGTAGGGTGGAAGAGAAAGGAGTATGTGGGAATGGCTGGGGTTCAGGATAGAAGTACTTTTTTCTGGAAGCTCATTGGCTCGTACAAAAGGTGACTATCTGGATGAAGACTGTAATATTTTTAACTCACATCATATACCAGACGTCCTCAAACTTTGAGAATCACAGTGGAAGAGATCTCAGGCAATAGCCGATGTGGGGTCTGGCTAAAAAGGTGATGACAGACAAGTGTGCCTGTTCTCAATGGCAGTTGCAGGGATGAGGAATGTGATGGAAGTGGTGGGTGAAAGGCAGGTTGAGGGATAGGAATGCCAGAGAAGGAAATGTGGAGGGGGGGAGGTACAAGAGAAGATGATGGAGTGATGTCCATGGGGAAAGGAATAGAGGTTGTGAAACAAATAAAGTGTTAGAGGTGAAGGAGGTGGTAAGGCTGTGGCCACTGAGTGTGATCTCTTCTACGACTTTCTTCAGTCTGGACTTTAGAGACAGTGAGTGCTCAGGCTCTCAGGGCCTTCCTCCAGCTGGGGCTCAAGTTTGGGTGAATGCAGTGGCCCTTGAGTGAGGATATAAGATTCATCAATCAAAATATAGCCGCTTTCTGGGACACCACCTTTTGGAATAACCCCTCCTCACAGCCATGCTTGAGGGCTACAATGCAGATTTCCCGAGGTTCATATCAATTAGGAGTGAAAGAGTTCAGATATCTCAGGACAGGCTGCAAGTTCAAGGTCTGCTTTTAGAGAAACTCCTACTGCAGAAAGAAGTCAATCATTAAAGAATATAGGGTCGGATCTTCTGGACAAGTGGTATTTCTTTCCATTCTAAAGATATGACCAGGTGACCGAGTGCTCTGTGAGATGCTGGGTGATAAATGAAGACATTTGTCATCTTTAGGCTTCATCCGTGTGCCTATTTCTTACTCCAACATCTCTCCTGTCTCCTCCCTCTCTCCCTCCATCCCTGTCCCTCTCTTTTTGTTTCTAAAGACACTAGAAGGCAAAAACAGAAAGCAAAACAATTAGAAAATCAGACTTTCTAATGTGCTTTCACTCTTGATAAAATCCAGAGGGAGCGAGAGAGGTTATCCAGTAAAGTAGACTGACAAAGTTTTCTGACCCTCTGCTCTTATGCCCCTCCTTAAGTTCTTTTTCACAAATCCTAGAAAGTTCAAAGGAGGACAACCCAGGACTGTAGGACTGAAAGACTGAAGGACTGAGGTGGCATGAGCCTCATGGGACAGGGGTTATTAATTGTCTTATTGTGTGCAGTGTTCTTTTAGGCTGATCCTGGCTCCAATACCACAATCTCCCTCCCAGACAACAAACACACTCCTCCCTCCCCCCTGTGCCCACAAACCTCAGAGATATTTCTTGAACATCAGCTGGAGGGAAAAGAGAAGAATGTTATGGGAATGAGATTCTATTAGGTGCTAAAATGAATTCATTTACATGATTAATCTAAAGCTAAAAGTAAAAGGGTGGATGCATAGGTCTAAGAAGTTAATTGACACCACCTTTATTTCTGAAATCAGAGGATTTTGACAATAAAGCGTTAAAAAGAAGATATATTGAGATAGGTAAGGTCTTTAAAATTTGGTAAAAGCAGCTGTAATAATAACGTGAGACAACATTTGTACATAATATTTTCAGTACTTAAACCTCCCCTTCTGTGTTCAAAAAAGAATATAAAGTTTTTCAGACATTTGCATAGGCTCTCTTTTCCATCTCCATGCCTAGTTTAGCTTTTATTCTTATGTAATGTTATTTAAGAGCAGGTTGGAGATGCTGAAAATAAATGAAATGCACTATTTTAGATGGAAGGAATTCAAAACGTAGTCAACTGTTTGGACAGCATTTTTGCAGTATGTTTACAACGTCCATTTGTTCTACTTTGGTTTAACTCAAGGAAACATCCTCAAGAGCAACTGTAATTGACATATAATGCTTCTACTTTCGCAGCCCCCCATGAGGCAAAGTCAACCAATCACTTTGAATGGAAGCCACTAAGATTTTCACATATACTTAATTCTGCTGAGCATGCATAGACCCAACGTCAATGCTTTTTTAGAGAAAAGAATGGAGCTTTAATGGAAAGCTGCGTCACTCAGGTGGTAGCATTTCTGCTAAGATTTTCAGGTTAAGATGCTGCATATGTCTGCAAGGAAAGGAAAACATCACACAAGATATATTGCCTGCCCTTTATAGACACCTGGGTATATGAAAAATTTTAAACTATTCCCCATTCATTCATTACTCACTAGTGCTAGTCACCAAATATTTCTGGCTCTTCTATGGGCACAGGTTGGCTGCATTTTCCCACCCCCTTTATGTTAAGCACAGCCATGTGACTCGCTTCGGGGAATAAATCTTGAGAAGAAGCTGTGTATGTCCCATCTGGGCAGAGCTTTAGGAGCTAGCGTATAATTTGTCGGACCTCTTTTCCTCTGTCATGACAACCAGCTGCCGGTGAGGAGGTTCTATGATCCGTGTTCCTTGAGTGTAGAGACACGGCACAGTGTTTCTCCCCTCAGACCCAATCCTTTAACCCACATGAATATGTAGCATGAATCAGAAATGAACCCTTGTCACTTTAGGGCATTCTGATGTGGAGGTTATATTGTTATCACAGCATAACCTAGCCTAGCATGGGGATTTCAGCCTGGGGTAAATATTTGAATAAAAGCAATGGCAGTTCAGAAATGGATGCTGACAATAGGATCAGAACAGGGTCAAAAAGACTCACAGCGGCTGCTAACTCCTTAATTATAGGATTATGGGTGAGCTTTTGCACATTAATTTCTCACCTCTCAAATGTAACCAGTATTGAAGGTTTGAGGAAGACGAGAGGGTGGCTTCGAAAAAGGTCACTATTTGGGAATTGTTCAGGTAAAGTGCTAACAATTCTATTTTTGCGGAGGATAATTATTTCATATTCTAGATGTTCTCAATTTCAGTCGTCATCATGATGATAATGTTGATGAACAGCCCTGGAGTGAGATGTCAGTATTCAGCAGAGGCTGTTTGCAAACTCTGCGGTGATTACACTCAGTGGTCTAATTGCTTAATTTATCGTTGTTTTGCTGACATGTTTTTCAGCCACGTTTGTGATTGCAGATAACTAATCATTTCTATTCTGGCTCATTATCATATGTTTGCATTTAATTTGTCTGATTGCTGCAGGTGGAAACAATAGGTGACGCGTACTGTGTTGCTGCAGGACTCCACAGAAAAAGCCTCTGCCATGCTAAGCCCATTGCTCTCATGGCCCTGAAGATGATGGAACTTTCAGAAGAGGTACTGACGCCTGACGGAAGACCAATTCAGGTAGCTCTCTCAACAATATGATTTGGGTAGTAATGCATGTTTAACCAGAGGGGCAAGAAATTCCCTTCTGTATCCTACACACTGTAATTTAAAGATCTAGATAAGTCGGGAGCTCAAAGAAGGTGAGGAATAGCTAGAGATGACTCAGAACCAGGAATAGAACAAATGGAAAGTGGTCTAAAGTGGAAAAGGTGTGTGGAAGGCAAATTACTAGGGAGGAAAAAAATGGAGCTAAAGTATTAGACCAAGGGGAAGAACTTGCTTTCAGTGACCAGGTCATCAAATTGAAGCAAGAATGATGGTAAGAATGAGTCTGAGAAATAATCCAAAAAATGAAAAACAGAGAAGAAAGAAAATGGAAGACTTGGGCAACTTCCTATGGATAGTGGACAGGTATCTTCATCAAGCCTCAGGCCTCAGAGCTGCTTCTGCAGGGCTTAAATGTGACAGGGCTTAAATTTGGGAGCCCAATAACTGAGGCAACTTTAAAATTGGAAAATGTAACCTCTGGCGAGTTGTACTTTTTTTGGTACTGATGGCTCTGTAGTCTGGGAACTACCTCTCAGAATGGTTTAAATGGTCATGTAGCTATAGCTTTGCCAAAACCCGGTGGATCACAGATGTGTTGTTACTATGAATCCTTATAAACCAGAAGTCTTGCATTTGGAGAGGTAGCCTAGAATTGAAGGCAGCCCTTTTATAACAGCTCACTAACTATGAGTTAAAAATATTAGAGAAAATAAAGCCTCAACATGTGAGTACATTTCTAGTGCTGGCATTGTGGCAAATCAGACACCCTGAGTGTCCCTTCTGTTTGAATTATTAAAATACAGGGTGTCCCAATAAGATGTATACACACTTTAACAGCTGATAGCTCAATTTTGAAAATGAAATGTATTTTAATAAACACCACCTTTATAATTATTCAAGGTGTGTATATACATTTTTTGGAACACCCTATATTTTTAAAAAATGTTTTTTAAAGACTATTAAGCACAACACTAAAGTCATAGAAAAGAGAGAAATGTGCCAATCACATTGTGGGTACAGACTGAACAAAATTTAAGTGGTGAATTTAAAGTGAGTGCTCTATTATTAGCAGTGATAGTAGGAAACACTGTTTCCTCCTTGGTGGAAGACAACTTCAATCTCATTTTCAAAGAATTTCCGCAGATAATGTGCTCTGGAAAATCAGTGGCTGATATTTGAAACAAAACTAAACAAAATAAAACAAACAGACAAAAAACCCCCACATACACAGGAACACAAAGTACTAAAGCTAAGAGAGAGTAGAAATAGTAGATGAGAAAAACAGATGTAGAGTGTTGTCAGATATCAAAATTTTCAGACAGAATCAAAATGTCAATGTTTAATATAATTAAAGAAATAAAAGAGGAGCTTTAAATGTGAGGCAGAAATAGTAGGTTTGAAAAAGAACCAGAGAACTTGTAAGCTATCAACACAATACTTAAAAAAGAAAAAGCTCAGTGGATAATTTTAAAAGCAGATTAGACACAGCTGAAGCAAAAATTAGTACACTGAAAGTTAGAAATGAAGAAGTTACTCATATTAAGCTCAGAGAATTAAAAATGGGAAAATGTGAATCAGGAAATATAAAATGTAAAATATGGAGGACTCATGGAGGAGAGAGTAAGAAGATGTAATATATGTTCTATTGGAGCTCCAAATGGAGTCAAGAGAGGGAATGCAAAAAGGAAAATTTATGGGAACTATTAAAAGACAATCAATTCTCAGACACAGTAATACTAAAGAATTCTACAAAAGATAAATCTGAGAAAAAGGGGACTTGATAAATGACAAAGGTGACATTTATCAAAGGATAGGCTATTCAATAAATGGTTTGGGACAATTGGTTATCCATGTAGGAAAAAATATTAAAATTGAATTTCTTATCTTGGCTGGCCTTGCTCAGTGGTTAGAACATTGGCTTGTGCACTGAATGGTCACAGGTTCCATTCTCGGTCAAAGGTATGTACTTGGGTTGCAGATTCAATCCCAGGCCCCAGTCAGGGTGAGTTAGGGAGGTGACCAATCAATGTGTCTCTCTCACATTGATGTTTCTTTCTCTCTTTCTCTGAAAATGAATGGAAAAAATATCCTCTAGTGAGGATTAAAAAAAAAAAAAAATCCCTAGTTCATGCGCCTGCATATAAAGCAATTCCAGGTGGGTTAAATGTGAAAGATCACACTATAAAACTATAAATTTGTAATTAAGATTTTTAAATTTTTTTTTCTTATTTTTTTCTTTCCTTTTTTCCATCACCATTTATCTCCTCTATGCTATAATTAAGATTTCTTTTGACAGAATAGAGAACAATTTTTTTGCAAATAGTCATGTCAAAACTTCTCAAATTATAAAGGAAAATAGGTATACATTTTACTACATTAAAATTAAAACCCTCCTGTTTATCAGAGAACACCTACAGAGAATTTAAAAAACAACCACCACAAAGGAGAATTTTTTGTAACACACTTAACCAATAAAAGTAACTTTGGTTAACCTGATCAGTAATCATAATAATAAATATTGATAACACTATACTTTCTCACCTACCAGTTTGGCACAACTTTGCAGGTCTGACAGTGCCACCATTGGTTAGACTGTGGAGCAGCAGGAAACCTCACACACAGCTGGTGGGAGTGTAAGTGGTGTAATGTCCTTGGCATTAACTAGCAAAGTTGACTTTGTGCCTTTCCTACAACCCAGAAATCCCTCTCCTAGATGTTGGCCCAGGGAAGTATTTGTGCATGTGTAGCAGAAGTCACACACAAGATTAGTCACAGCAATGCTTTTCATAATATTCTCAAACTGGAAACAACTGAAATATCCACTTAATAGAATGGATAAACTGTGATTTATTTACAGTGGGATACCATACAGTTGGGAAAATAAATTACTTCAGCTATTGACATTGGTTGACATGGATGAATGTCAAACACATAATATTGATCAAGAAAAGCAAGTCATAGAGAAATGCTCCTAGTTTTATTGCATTTAATTAAATTTCAAAACTGGGAAAATTGAAAAAATATGCTAACTGAAAAAGAAATGCCTGCATTGATGGAAAAAGTATAAAGGAAAGAAAGGGAATGATTAATGCAAAATCCAAGATGGTGCTTAACTCCAAGGGAAAGAAAGATGCTGGCAAGAGGGAGGAGGCAGTAGGGAAAGTGGACATAGGGGCTAGAGTACAAAATTATTCATTTTATTGCTATTCTTCAGTGTGCACTTATATGTTTATGCTTGATGATTTTAAAAAGTATACAGAGAAAGACTCCCACCAGTGGTGAAAATAGAAAATCATAGAGCATTACAAAAAAAAATCTAGTTTAAGTCCCCTTAGGACATAATTATCTAGTTACTCAGGTATATGGATGACACTTCTGTCACGGTCAGGTAAAACAAACAAAGGAAGCTCTCTCAGATCTGCAGCAAACTGCAGATGTACACATTCCACATTGAATTTGCACCAGCTCTTAAATTTTCAAGACTATCAGCCGGGCAGTGTTATCATTTGGGATGTTTTTTCTATGTTGGATTTTCTTTTACAGGATATGCAATGTTTGTATTGATTCATCCTCATCAAAGCAAACTTAAATTACCAAACAGAACCAGGGAGTTGCGTTTTACAGTGTTCTCATCCATATTTTCATTTGTGGGATATAACATTAGCTCTGTCTTAGGAATTAGATAGTCTTATTAAATCAGAAGAGGAAATGTCCATAAAGATTTAATAAGAATGCAGAAAGACAATTCAAAATAATAAAACCACTTTAATACTTTTAGCTTCATTATTAATTTATATTATCTTATGGTTTGGGGTTGGTTTGGGGCATATTAATTTAATTTTGAATTGGCTTCTAATGGTGCCATGGAAACATTTCTAAATTTATTGAAATAATCTTTCATTAAAAATGCTTGACGGTTACATTAGAATTGACATGTGATCAGTTGATTATTTACTTCATACTGTCCAAGTTTTTAAGCTATTTAAAATTTAAGCCATTTGATTTGCAAAACTTGCTCAAAAGAAAACTCCCCAACCCTCTCAAATTTTGAAAAATAAATTGATAATTTTTATATGCCTTATAAATTTTGAGGCACTTGTCATGATGAGAAATAGGAAAGTGAATTATCAATTATAATTGCTTGCAAATGACTGGTAATGTTCTTGAATCATTAACTTTAAAATTGAGTTAATTTTTTAAATTAAAACAACAAACAGCATTTCACTTCAAGCCAATTATTTTTCTATAAGAAATCTCATGAAACTCAGAGGACAGTTCTAGATTGTATCTCCAAATAACACAAATACGACCATTTATTTATACAATAAATTCTGAAAATTCAGCTTAAAGTGGCTTTAAGTACGATTGCTTTTAAAAATAGTGATTAGTTTTTTTTTATCAATATGATGTTAATTCTATTGGCTGAATATATGGAAATGTCAGCATTATGCCTATTCCATTTATTTCCTCCTCTCTAGAGGAAATCAGATTTTCTTATATATTAAACAGTAGACAATTGAAGAGAAGTACAATCAGATTAATATCCTCTCCTCTTTGTTTGAACGAGTTGTGTTGTGATTTCACTAGAAAATTATATAGTTTTATGTTGTTCATTTACTTGTGAACCTAATCTTATGCAAGTATTTTGAAGAGTTTTTTTATTGCTGAAAGACTTTTATTAATAGTTTAAACACTCTGATTAAAATGACAAAACATTTATTACTGTTTGTACTTTTTTGTGTTAAAAAAATGGTAAGAAAAGGGAAGCTGGGTTGAAGACAGACTAGAGTATGTGATTAAACGTATAATAGAAAGACAGATAGCATTTTCATGATTTAAAGTTTTGGAGATCGAGTTAGTGTGTCGAGATATCTAAGTTTTACTTATGCATTTCAGTTTTTAAAAAATATCTTCATTGAATTTCATTACATAAATCTACAAATGCAAATTTTCATTAGTTCAGAGAACAG